CAATCCTAGACAGAGTGAATCTATGCTAGTCAAAGTGAATCTATGCTAGACAGAGTGAATCTATGCTAGTCAGAGTGAATCAATCCTAGTCAGAGTGAATCTATGCTAGTCAGAGTGAATCAATCCTAGTCAGAGTGAATCTATGCTAGACAGAGTGAATCAATGCTAGTCAGAGTGAATCTATGCTAGTCAGAGTGAATCTATGCTAGTCAGAGTGAATCTATGCTAGACAGAGTGAATCTATGCTAGTCAGAGAGAATCTATGCTAGTCAGAGTGAATCTATGCTAGACAGAGTGAATCTATGCTAGTCAGAGTGAATCTATGCTAGACAGAGTGAATCAATCCTAGTCAGAGTGAATCTATGCTAGTCAGAGTGAATCTATGCTAGACAGAGTGAATCTATGCTAGTCAGAGTGAATCTATGCTAGACAGAGTGAATCAATCCTAGTCAGAGTGAATCTATGCTAGTCAGAGTGAATCTATGCTAGTCAGAGTGAATCTATGCTAGTCAGAGTGAATCAATCCTAGTCAGAGTGAATCTATGCTAGTCAGAGTGAATCAATCCTAGTCAGAGTGAATCTATGCTAGTCAGAGTGAATCTATGCTAGTCAGAGTGAATCAATCCTAGTCAGAGTGAATCTATGCTAGACAGAGTGAATCTATGCTAGTCAGAGTGAATCTATGCTAGTCAGAGTGAATCTATGCTAGACAGAGTGAATCTATCCTAGTCAGAGTGAATCTATGCTAGTCAGAGTGAATCTATGCTAGTCAGAGTGAATCTATGCTAGTCAGAGTGAATCAATCCTAGTCAGAGTGAATCTATGCTAGACAGAGTGAATCTATGCTAGTCAGAGTGAATCTATGCTAGTCAGAGTGAATCTATGCTAGTCAGAGTGAATCTATGCTAGACAGAGTGAATCAATCCTAGTCAGAGTGAATCTATGCTAGACAGAGTGAATCTTATGCTAGTCAGAGTGAATCTATGCTAGTCAGAGTGAATCTATGCTAGACAGAGTGAATCAATCCTAGTCAGAGTGAATCTATGCTAGTCAGAGTGAATCTATGCTAGTCAGAGTGAATCAATCCTAGTCAGAGTGAATCTATGCTAGACAGAGTGAATCTATGCTAGACAGAGTGAATCTATGCTAGTCAGAGTGAATCTATGCTAGACAGAGTGAATCTATGCTAGTCAGAGTGAATCTATGCTAGACAGAGTGAATCTATGCTAGTCAGAGTGAATCTATGCTAGACAGAGTGAATCAATCCTAGTCAGAGTGAATCTATGCTAGTCAGAGTGAATCTATGCTAGACAGAGTGAATCTATGCTAGTCAGAGTGAATCTATGCTAGACAGAGTGAATCAATCCTAGTCAGAGTGAATCTATGCTAGTCAGAGTGAATCTATGCTAGTCAGAGTGCTAGTCAGAGTGAATCAATCCTAGTCAGAGTGAATCTATGCTAGACAGAGTGAATCTATGCTAGCAGAGTGAATCTATGTCAGTTAGAGTGAATCTATGCTAGTCAGAGTGAATCTATGCTAGACAGAGTGAATCTATCCTAGTCAGAGTGAATCTATGCTAGTCAGAGTGAATCTATGCTAGTCAGAGTAATCATGCTAGTCAGAGTGAATCAATCCTAGTCAGAGTGAATCTATGCTATGACAGAGTGAATCTATGCTAGTCAGAGTGAATCTATGCTAGTCAGAGTGAATCTATGCTAGTCAGAGTGAATCAATCCTAGTCAGAGTGAATCTATGCTAGACAGAGTGAATCTATGCTAGTCAGAGTGAATCTATGCTAGTCAGAGTGAATAATGCTAGACAGAGTGAATCAATCCTAGTTCAGAGTGAATCTATGCTAGTCAGAGTGAATCTATGCTAGTCAGAGTGAATCAATCCTAGTCCGAGTGAATCTACTTGCTAGACAGAGTGAACTCTCTGCTAGACAGAGTGAATCTATGCTAGACAGAGTGAATCTATGCTAGACAGAGGAGTGAAATCTATGCTAGACAGAGTGAATCTATGCAGTCAGAGTGAATCTATGCTAGACAGAGTGAATCTATGCTAGTCCAGAGGGAATCTATGCTAGACAGAGTGAATCTATGCTAGACGAGTGACTCTATGCTAGACAGAGTGAATCCTATGCTAGACAGAGTGAATCTATGCTAGACAGAGTGAATCTATGCTAGACAGAGTGAATCTATGCTAGACAGAGTGAATCTATGCTAGACAGAGTGAATCTATGCTAGACAGAGTGGAATCTATGCTAGCAGAGTGAAATCTATGCTAGACAGAGTGAATCTATGCTATCAGAGTGAATCTATGCTAGACAGAGTGAATCTATGCTAGCAGAGTGATCTATGCTAGCAGAGTGAATCTATGCTAGACAGAGTGAATTCTATGCTAGAAGGAATCTCTGTAGCAGAGTGAATCTATGCTATTCAGAGTGAATCTATGTAGACAGAGTGACTCTATGCTAGACAGAGTGAATCTATGCTAGACAGAGTGAATCTATGCTAGACAGAGTGAATCTATGCTAGACAGAGTGAATCTATGCTAGACAGAGTGGCGAGCGGTGCGAGTCGCGAGCGGAGCGAGGGGAGTTCCCGACTCCCTGTCACTCCGCGGTGTTCTACCCCGCAAGCTCCTGGGGGGTACACGTAACCCTGGCGGTACGTTTATCCCTGGGGGAAGAAAGGGTTGTTGTTTAACCAGTTAAGAGTCTCACTGAGCTATGAAACGACCTGGGCCACAAATGATAGCTCAACGAAGTGGCTTATCACGTGGAGATGTAGAGCGGCAGCCGCACACTCTAAACGCGTGATGTTGTTGAGTCTCAATGTGGAGGGGAAAACCGGAGGGGAGAGAGACACGCAAACTCCAAATATACAGTAGCAGGCGTCAGGGTCGCGATCGAACCCACGACCTCCTGTATACCAGGCGAGGTAGTTAACATCTCCTAGCCACCGTGATGATGATGAGAGAGAGACACGCAAACTCCAAATATACAGTAGCAGGCACACCAGGCGAGGTAGTAAACATCTCCTAGCCACCGTGACGATGATGAGAGAGAGAGAGACACCGCAAACTCCAAATATACAGCAGCAGGTGTCAGGGTCGCGATCGAACCCACGACCTCCTGCACACCAGGCGAGGTAGTAAACATCTCCTAGCCACCGTGATGATGATGAGAGAGAGACACGTAAACTCCAAATATAAGGCTCCTTTTCAGGATGGTCCTCTGCCAGGTGTTTTGGCATTCGGGGGCGATGCCACTGCTGCTGCTGCAGCTGCTGCTGATCCCAGCTGAGTGATTCACAGGCGCGATTTGTCCACTAGGGGGCGTTGGGGTGCCACCCCACCAAGCAGCTGGAGATGATAAATTATTTTTCTAAAAAAAAAACTTTCTATAAATAGTTTTGTTGTGATAATTGGTTTTTAACCCTTTTATCTGGCAACAAAACTGGCACCTTTTTTACAAGGAGTCAGGTTTGCATGGACCACAATACCTGCGGTCGAAATGCAAACAAAAAAACACAACCATGATAATGTATGCACTGTCCTTGAAGTTGATTGGTCCACACCCGAGACAGCTTTTCTTAGAGCCTAGTGGCCCTAGTCTCACATGGGTTGGACCAGATGACGCCAAAAGGCGCACAACTCAAAGACAATGCACCATCAGAGGATGAGAGCTCGGGGTAAGCATTTACACCATTGGAACCTCCTTTGCCAGTATCAAAATATGATAATTGGTTTTTTACCCTTTTATCTAGCAACAAAACTGAATTTAAAAAGGTGTAAGTTTTGTTGCCAGATAAAAGAGTAAAAACCAATTATCATATTTTACTACTGGCAAAGGAGGTTCCAATGGAGTTTTGTTGTGTTTTGATTTTTGTGTCATGTAAACAGAACATGCCATTTCCATACTAGTAGAGCACTAACCGGTTGTGTGTTGGAGAGTGAACCCATCATAACATTTACACTTCGAGTACTTGGTGACGTTTCGCCGTTAATCGCAACAATAACTACAACCACCAGCAGCATCAGCAGCATCAGGCGACAGCCACAGAGTCGTGGAGACATCCTCGCTCCTGTTTCAGGGGGGAGAGAGAGAAGCACGCAGATTCCACTCACATCAAGGCCCCCTCCAGAAAAAAAATCTTAATTTTAAAACGAATTTCCTGCCATTTCCTGCCTAAAATATTACAAAATTCACTAACACACTGGATGGACTTTGTATTTCTTTTTTTACAATAATGTCTCAGTGTATTGTATTACATTGCTCTGTTTTTAATGTTTTACCTTTTCTTGTTTCATTAGGGATTCATAAAGTACAACCATAACCAAAATCATATAAACATAAATCTCTTTTATAGCAATATATTGGCGGGGACATTTTGAGCTATTTGAATATTGGGGGTGTGTGTGTGTGTGTGTCCTACACACACACACAGCGGTCAGCGCGCTGCGCTACGAACCTGGCGACCCGGGTTCGATTCCCGCTCACGGCCAACACCAGTGACGGTTATCTGAACCGGTCCTGGGCCTCCCCTAGGTCGACTCAGCCTTAAATGAGTACCTGGTGCGGTGTGTAAACATCGCCACTCGGGAGACAAAGACGGTCGGGCGTGGTGCTGGCCACCCACCCCCCCGTGTACCGTTCCGGCCTTTATAGGTGCTCGCTAATGGCACTTGCCCCTACAGTCTGTTAAGGCTATGCGGGGGATCTTTGTGTCCCACACAATATATATTATATTTACGGCCTTGACTCACACAGACTCTACTCACACACACACACAGAGAGAACGCACGCAGACTCCACTGAGAGCGAAAGAGAGGAGTCGTGAGTCGATCCCAGGCCCTTTGTGGTCCCAGCTGCACTGCATCTGGAACTCGGCCACGACTCGAGACCGCCGGGGTCGGTGGGCGCGTCGGTGACTCTGAGCGCCGTCGTTGTTGTTGTTGTTGTCGTTGTTGTTGTTGTCTGTGCGCGAGCGAGCAGCTGGGGGGCAGGGCTCCCCGCTACGCCCTCAACCCCCTGGGCAAGAGGTGGGAGCGAGACAACCTCACCTACAGGTGAGACGACACGGAGGGGGGGGGTGACACGGGGGGGGGGGGGGGGACACGGGACATGGGGAGGACACGAGGGAGGACACGGGGGGGGGTGGTGGGGGATGGCACGGGGTGGGACGGGACACGGGGGGGGGGGGGCACAGGGAGGATACGGTTGAGAGAGACACGGGTGAGACACGGTGGAGAGACATTGGGGAGACACGGCAAAGACGGGTGAGACACAGATGAGAGACACGGGTGAGAGAGACACTGGGGAGAGAGACACAGATTAGAGACACAGATGAGAGACACGGATGAGAGACACGGGGCGAGCGAGACACACGGGGTGAGAGAGACACACATGAGAGAGACACACGGGTGAGAGAGACACGGATGAGAGAGACACAGATGAGAGAGACACAGACGAGAGAGACACGGGTGAGAGAGACACTGGGGAGAGAGACACAGATTAGAGACACAGATGAGAGACACAGATGAGAGACACGGGGCGAGCGAGACACACGGGGTGAGAGAGACACACATGAGAGAGACACACGGGTGAGAGAGACACAGATGAGAGAGACACAGACGAGAGAGACACGGGTGAGAGAGACACTGGGGAGAGAGACACAGATTAGAGACACAGATGAGAGACACAGATGAGAGACACGGGGCGAGCGAGACACACGGGGTGAGAGAGACACACATGAGAGAGACACACGGGTGAGAGAGACACGGATGAGAGAGACACAGATGAGAGAGACACAGACGAGAGAGACACGGGTGAGAGAGACACTGGGGAGAGAGACACAGATTAGAGACACAGATGAGAGACACAGATGAGAGACACGGGGCGAGCGAGACACACGGGGTGAGAGAGACACACATGAGAGAGACACACGGGTGAGAGAGACACAGATGAGAGAGACACAGACGAGAGAGACACGGGTGAGAGAGACACTGGGGAGAGAGACACAGATTAGAGACACAGATGAGAGACACAGATGAGAGACACGGGGCGAGCGAGACACACGGGGTGAGAGAGACACACATGAGAGAGACACACGGGTGAGAGAGACACGGATGAGAGAGACACAGATGAGAGAGACACAGACGAGAGAGACACGGGTGAGAGAGACACTGGGGAGAGAGACACAGATTAGAGACACAGATGAGAGACACGGATGAGAGACACGGGGCGAGCGAGACACACGGGGTGAGAGAGACACACATGAGAGAGACACACGGGTGAGAGAGACACGGATGAGAGAGACACAGATGAGAGAGACACAGACGAGAGAGACACGGGTGAGAGAGACACTGGGGAGAGAGACACAGATTAGAGACACAGATGAGAGACACAGATGAGAGACACGGGGCGAGCGAGACACACGGGGTGAGAGAGACACACGTGAGAGAGACACACGGGTGAGAGAGACACGGATGAGAGAGACACAGATGAGAGAGACACAGACGAGAGAGACACGGGGTGAGAGAGACGCGGGAGTGCGCGCGTCCCCTCCGCAGGATCGACCGTTTCCCGTCGTCGCTGAGCCGCGAGGAGACGCGTGTCGCCATCGCGCGCGCCTTCTCCATGTGGAGCCGCGTGTCGCCCCTCTCCTTCCACGAGGTGCCCGCCACCAGCCCCGCCGACTTCCGTATAGGTGCGGATACGAGAGAGGGATGGGAGGGGGTCCGGGGTGGGTGTGGACAAGGGGGGCGGAGGAATGCGGATGCGAGTGTAGTAGGTTCAATGAGACTTGGACGACGTAGTCGGAGGCACACTTATTTATTAACCGTTTCACTCAGCGCAGGCCAAGGTATACAACACTCGAAGGGGTATCGGCCCCTTCACCCGTCTAACAGGGAGATCCCACGATCTCTATCCCGGCTAGCCTACTCCCAGGTCCTCCACTCGAGAGCTAGGGGAGGCTAGCTGATCCAGCTCTGGCCAAGCTGGGATCACGGCACCCTGAGTCCCCAGACCGGCTCTTACAAGAGCATCGGCTCTGGGCTCTCGGGGCCACGCCACTGGCTTGCCCTGCTCGGTCCTTAAGAAGGACAGCGATCCAGGGGAGTCCCAGGGCCTATCTAGCCGGTCTTCCTTCTTCGCTGGTTTAAGCTGAACACTGAACCCCGAGCCCACCGGCTCACCGACTTATATAGCAACTCCCCCCGAGGGGTGGGGCCGTGGGGGATCACAGCGCCGTTTCAGCCCCCCAGGGCTAACCGGTGCGGACGTGGATGTAAGCATCCTTCCGCGTGCGGGCATAACCACACCCGGTGTGTTTGTTCGCCCTCCCGTAACACCTCTACACGAGGGATGCTCGTGTGACGACCAAGCGATTTCAGCCTCGGCGACTTCTCCCCCCCCCAAATTTTGATTTAAAGCTTTCGTGACTGCAGGGATTTATCTTCTTGGTTCTTTCGGTAAAGTCACGTAGAAGGGAAGTAATAAAATAATTGTTTTATTATGTTTTATTTTTATTATTTTATTACTTCCCTTCTACGTGACTTTACCGAAAGAACCAAGAAGATTCTCCCCCCCCCCCCACCCCGCAGGGTTCTACAGGCGCGTGCACGAGGGGTGCGCGCGCGCCCCGGCGCTGCTCCACCCGTGCTTCGACGGGCGCGACGGGGAGCTGGCGCACGCCTTCCTGCCCCCGCGCGGGGACGTCCACCTGGACGACGACGAGAGCTGGGTGCTGGGCACCACACGCTTCAGCTGGAGCCGCGGTGGGGCGGGGTTTGGGTTGATGGGTTTGGGTGGGTGGGATTGGGTGGGTGGGATTGGGTGGGTGGGTTTGGGTGGGTGGGTTTGGGTGGGTGGGTTTGGGTGGGTGGGATTGGGTGGGTGGGATTGGGTTGGTGGGTGGGTTTGGATGGGTGGGTTTGAGTGGGTGGGCTTGGGTGGGTGTGTTTGGGTGGGTGGGTTTGGGTGGGTGGGTTTGGGTGGATGGGATTGGGTGGGTGGGTTTGGGTGGGTGGGTTTGGGTGCGTGGGTTTGGGTGGGTGGGTTTGAGTGGGTGGGTTTGGGTGGGTGGGTTTGAGTGGGTGGGTTTGGGTGGGTGGGTTTGAGTGGATGGGTTTGAGTGGGTGGGTTTGGGTGGGTGGGTTTGAGTGGGTGTGTTTGGGTAGGTGGGTTTGGGTGGGTGGGTTTGGGTGGATGGGTTTGGGTGGGTCGGTTTGGATGGGTGGGTGGGTTTGGGAGGGTGGGTTTGGGTGGGTGGGATTGGGTGGGTGGGATTGGGTTGGTGGGTGGGTTTGGATGGGTGGGTTTGAGTGGGTGGGCTTGGGTGGGTGTGTTTGGGTGGGTGGGTTTGGGTGGATGGGATTGGGTGGGTGGGTTTGGGTGGGTGGGTTTGGGTGGATGGGATTGGGTGGGTGGGTTTGGGTGGGTGGGTTTGGGTGGGTGGGTTTGAGTGGGTGGGTTTGGGTGGGTGGGTTTGAGTGGATGGGTTTGAGTTGGTGGGTTTGGGTGGGTGGGTTTGAGTGGGTGTGTTTGGGTAGGTGGGTTTGGGTGGGTGGGTTTGGGTGGATGGGTTTGGGTGGGTCGGTTTGGATGGGTGGGTGGGTTTGGGTGGGTGGGTTTGGGTGGGTGGGTTTGGGTGGGTGGGTTTGGATGGGTGGGTTTGGGTGAGTGGGTTTGGGTTGGTGGGTTTGGGTGGGTGGGTTTGGGTGGGTGGGTTTGGGTGGGTGGGCTTGGTTGGGTGGGTTTGGGTGGGTGGGTTTGGGTGGGTGGGATTGGGTTGGTGGGTTTGGATGGGTGGGTTTGGGTGAGTGGGTTTGGGTTGGTGGGTTTAGGTGGGTGGGTTTGGGTGGGTGGGTTTGGGTGGGTGGGCTTGGTTGGGTGGGTTTGGGTGGGTGGGTTTGGGTGGGTGGGATTGGGTTGGTGGGTTTGGGTGGGTGGGTTTGGGTGGGTGGGTTGGGTGGGTGGGTTTGGGTGGATGGGTTTTGGTGGATGGGTTTGGGTGGGTCGGTTTGGATGGGTGGGTGGGTTTGGGTGGATGGGTTTGGGTGGGTGGGTTTGGGTGGGTGGGTTTGGGTGGATGGGTTTGGGTGGGTGGGATTGAGTTGGTGGGTTTGGGTGGGTGGGTTTGGGTGGGTGGGTTTGGGTGGATGGGTTTGGGTGGATGGGTTTGGGTGGGTCGGTTTGGATGGGTGGGTGGGTTTGGGTGGGTGGGTTTGGGTGGGTGGGTTTGGGTGGGTGGGTTTGGGTGGGTGGGTGGGTGGGTTTGGATGGGTGGGTTTGGGTGAGTGGGTTTGGGTTGGTGGGTTTGGGTGGGTGGGTTTGGGTGGGTGGGTTTGGGTGGGTGGGCTTGGTTGGGTGGGTTTGGGTGGGTGGGTTTGGGTGGGTGGGATTGGGTTGGTGGGTTTGGATGGGTGGGTTTGGGTGAGTGGGTTTGGGTTGGTGGGTTTAGGTGGGTGGGTTTGGGTGGGTGGGTTTGGGTGGGTGGGCTTGGTTGGGTGGGTTTGGGTGGGTGGGTTTGGGTGGGTGGGTTTGGGTGGATGGGTTTGGGTGGGTGGGATTGAGTTGGTGGGTTTGGGTGGGTGGGTTTGGGTGGATGGGTTTGGGTGGATGGGTTTGGGTGGGTCAGTTTGGATGGGTGGGTGGGTTTGGGTGGATGGGTTTGGGTGGGTGGGTTTGGGTGGGTGGGTTTGGGTGCGTGGGTTTGAGTGGGTGGGTTTGGGTGGGTGGGTTTGGGTGGTATGGGTTTGGGTGTGTGGGTTTGGATGGGTGGGTTTTGGTGGGTGGGTTTGGGTGGGTGGGTTTGGGTAGATGGGTTTTGGTGGGTGGGTTTGGGTGGGTGTGTTTGGGTGGGTGGGTTTGGGTGGGTGGGTTTGGGTGGATGGGATTGGGTTGGTGGGTTTGGGTGGGTGGGTTTGGGTGGGTGGGTTTGGGTGGGTGGGTTTGAGTGGGTGGGTTTGGGTGGGTGGGTTTGGGTGGATGGGTTTGAGTGGGTGGGTTTGGGTGGGTGGGTTTGAGTGGGTGTGTTTGGGTAGGTGGGTTTGGGTGGGTGGGTTTGGGTGGATGGGTTTGGGTGGGTCGGTTTGGATGGGTGGGTGGGTTTGGGTGGGTGGGTTTGGGTGGGTGGGTTTGGATGGGTGGGTTTGGGTGAGTGGGTTTGGGTTGGTGGATTTGGGTGGGTGGGTTTGGGTGGGTGGGTTTGGGTGGGTGGGCTTGGTTGGGTGGGTTTGGGTGGGTGGGTTTGGGTGGGTGGGATTGGGTTGGTGGGTTTGGATGGGTGGGTTTGGGTGAGTGGGTTTGGGTTGGTGGGTTTAGGTGGGTGGGTTTGGGTGGGTGGGTTTGGGTGGGTGGGCTTGGTTGGGTGGGTTTGGGTGGGTGGGTTTGGGTGGGTGGGCTTGGTTGGGTGGGTTTGGGTGGGTGGGTTTGGGTGGGTGGGATTGGGTTGGTGGGTTTGGGTGGGTGGGTTTGGGTGGATGGGTTTGGGTGGATGGGTTTTTGGTGGATGGGTTTGGGTGGGTCGGTTTGGATGGGTGGGTGGGTTTGGGTGGATGGGTTTGGGTTGGTGGGTTTGGGTGGGTGGGTTTGGGTGGATGGGTTTGGGTGGGTGGGATTGAGTTGGTGGGTTTGGGTGGGTGGGTTTGGGTGGGTGGGTTTGGGTGGATGGGTTTGGGTGGATGGGTTTGGGTGGGTCGGTTTGGATGGGTGGGTGGGTTTGGGTGGGTGGGTTTGGGTGGGTGGGTTTGGGTGGGTGGGTTTGGATGGGTGGGTTTGGGTGAGTGGGTTTGGGTTGGTGGGTTTGGGTGGGTGGGTTTGGGTGGGTGGGTTTGGTTGGGTGGGCTTGGTTGGGTGGGTTTGGGTGGGTGGGTTTGGGTGGGTGGGATTGGGTTGGTGGGTTTGGATGGGTGGGTTTGGGTGAGTGGGTTTGGGTTGGTGGGTTTGGGTGGGTGGGTTTGGGTGGGTGGGTTTGGGTGGGTGGGCTTGGTTGGGTGGGTTTGGGTGGGTGGGTTTGGGTGGATGGGTTTGGGTGGGTGGGATTGAGTTGGTGGGTTTGGGTGGGTGGGTTTGGGTGGGTGGGTTTGGGTGGATGGGTTTGGGTGGATGGGTTTGAGTGGGTCGGTTTGGATGGGTGGGTGGGTTTGGGTGGATGGGTTTGGGTGGGTGGGTTTGGGTGGGTGGGTTTGGGTGCGTGGGTTTGAGTGGGTGGGTTTGGGTGGGTGGGTTTGGGTGGTATGGGTTTGGGTGTGTGGATTTGGGTGGGTGGGTTTTGGTGGGTGGGTTTGGGTGGGTGGGTTTGGGTGGGTTTGGGTAGATGGGTTTTGGTGGGTGGGTTTGGGTGGGTGGGTTTGGGTGGGTTTGGGTGTTTGGGTGTGGGTGGGTTTGGGTGGGTGGGTTTGGGTGGATGGGTTTGGGTGGGTGGGTTTGGGTGGGTGGGTTTGGGTGCGTGGGTTTGAGTGGGTGGGTTTGGGTAGATGGGTTTTGGTGGGTGGGTTTGGGTGGGTGGGTTTGGGTGGGTGGGTTTGGGTGGATGGGTTTTGGTGGATGGGTTTGGGTGGGTCGGTTTGGATGGGTGGGTGGGTTTGGGTGGATGGGTTTGGGTGGGTGGGTTTGGGTGGGTGGGTTTGGGTGGGTGGGTTTGGGTAGATGGGTTTTGGTGGGTGGGTTTGGGTGTGTGGGTTTGGATGGGTGGGTTTTGGTGGGTGGGTTTGGGTGGGTGGGTTTGGGTAGATGGGTTTTGGTGGGTGGGTTTGGGTGGGTGTGTTTGGGTGGGTGGGTTTGGGTGGGTGGGTTTGGGTGGATGGGATTGGGTTGGTGGGTTTGGGTGGGTGGGTTTGGGTGGGTGGGTTTGGGTGGGTGGGTTTGAGTGGGTGGGTTTGGGTGGGTGGGTTTGGGTGGATGGGTTTGAGTGGGTGGGTTTGGGTGGGTGGGTTTGAGTGGGTGTGTTTGGGTAGGTGGGTTTGGGTGGGTGGGTTTGGGTGGATGGGTTTGGGTGGGTCGGTTTGGATGGGTGGGTGGGTTTGGGTGGGTGGGTTTGGGTGGGTGGGTTTGGATGGGTGGGTTTGGGTGAGTGGGTTTGGGTTGGTGGATTTGGGTGGGTGGGTTTGGGTGGGTGGGTTTGGGTGGGTGGGCTTGGTTGGGTGGGTTTGGGTGGGTGGGTTTGGGTGGGTGGGATTGGGTTGGTGGGTTTGGATGGGTGGGTTTGGGTGAGTGGGTTTGGGTTGGTGGGTTTAGGTGGGTGGGTTTGGGTGGGTGGGTTTGGGTGGGTGGGCTTGGTTGGGTGGGTTTGGGTGGGTGGGTTTGGGTGGGTGGGCTTGGTTGGGTGGGTTTGGGTGGGTGGGTTTGGGTGGGTGGGATTGGGTTGGTGGGTTTGGGTGGGTGGGTTTGGGTGGATGGGTTTGGGTGGATGGGTTTTGGTGGATGGGTTTGGGTGGGTCGGTTTGGATGGGTGGGTGGGTTTGGGTGGATGGGTTTGGGTTGGTGGGTTTGGGTGGGTGGGTTTGGGTGGATGGGTTTGGGTGGGTGGGATTGAGTTGGTGGGTTTGGGTGGGTGGGTTTGGGTGGGTGGGTTTGGGTGGATGGGTTTGGGTGGATGGGTTTGGGTGGGTCGGTTTGGATGGGTGGGTGGGTTTGGGTGGGTGGGTTTGGGTGGGTGGGTTTGGGTGGGTGGGTTTGGATGGGTGGGTTTGGGTGAGTGGGTTTGGGTTGGTGGGTTTGGGTGGGTGGGTTTGGGTGGGTGGGTTTGGTTGGGTGGGCTTGGTTGGGTGGGTTTGGGTGGGTGGGTTTGGGTGGGTGGGATTGGGTTGGTGGGTTTGGATGGGTGGGTTTGGGTGAGTGGGTTTGGGTTGGTGGGTTTGGGTGGGTGGGTTTGGGTGGGTGGGTTTGGGTGGGTGGGCTTGGTTGGGTGGGTTTGGGTGGGTGGGTTTGGGTGGATGGGTTTGGGTGGGTGGGATTGAGTTGGTGGGTTTGGGTGGGTGGGTTTGGGTGGGTGGGTTTGGTGGATGGGTTTGGGTGGATGGGTTTGAGTGGGTCGTTTGGATGGGTGGGTGGGTTTGGGTGGATGGGTTTGGGTGGGTGGGTTTGGGTGGGTGGGTTTGGGTGCGTGGGTTTGAGTGGGTGGGTTTGGGTGGGTGGGTTTGGGTGGTATGGGTTTGGGTGTGTGGATTTGGGTGGGTGGGTTTTGGTGGGTGGGTTTGGGTGGGTGGGTTTGGGTGGGTTTGGGTAGATGGGTTTTGGTGGGTGGGTTTGGGTGGGTGGGTTTGGGTGGGTTTGGGTGTTTGGGTGTGGGTGGGTTTGGGTGGGTGGGTTTGGGTGGATGGGTTTGGGTGGGTGGGTTTGGGTGGGTGGGTTTGGGTGCGTGGGTTTGAGTGGGTGGGTTTGGGTAGATGGGTTTTGGTGGGTGGGTTTGGGTGGGTGGGTTTGGGTGGGTGGGTTTGGGTGGATGGGTTTTGGTGGATGGGTTTGGGTGGGTCGGTTTGGATGGGTGGGTGGGTTTGGGTGGATGGGTTTGGGTGGGTGGGTTTGGGTGGGTGGGTTTGGGTGGGTGGGTTTGGGTAGATGGGTTTTGGTGGGTGGGTTTGGGTGTGTGGGTTTGGGTGGGTGGGTTTTGGTGGGTGGGTTTGGGTGGGTGGGTTTGGGTGGGTGGGTTTGGGTAGATGGGTTTTGGTGGGTGGGTTTGGGTGGGTGGGTTTGGGTGGGTGGGTTTGGGTAGATGGGTTTTGGTGGGTGGGTTTGGGTGGGTGGGTTTGGGTGGGTTTGGGTGTGTGGGTTTGGGTGGGTGGGTTTGGGTGGGTTTGGGTGTGTGGGTTTGGGTGGGTGGGTTTTGGTGGGTGGGTTTGGGTGGGTGGGTTTGGGTGGGTGGGTTTGGGTAGATGGGTTTTGGTGGGTGGGTTTGGGTGGGTGGGTTTGGGTAGATGGGTTTTGGTGGGTGGGTTTCGGTGGGTGGGTTTGGGTGGGTTTGGGTGTGTGGGTTTGGGTGGGTGGGTTTGGGTAGATGGGTTTTGGTGGGTGGGTTTGGGTGGGTGGGTTTGGATGGGTGGATGGGTGGGTTTGGGTGGGTGGGATTTGGTGGGTTTGGAATTTGGTGAGTTTGAGATTGAGTGGTTGGGTATTCGGCACGGGTCTATCAGTACCGTGCTACGAGTCAATTCCTGGCACCCCAACACAGTCGCCGGTGTCCGGACCGTCTGGGTCAGGGGTCGGTAACCTGCAGCCCCGGAGCCGCGTGCGGCTCGTTAAGGACCATCGTGTCTCTCATAAATAACAAACAGTGCCCAGTCTCGAAACAAATGGCTCGTGTTGTGTTGGTTGCCGACCGCTCGTTTGGATTCTACCCTCGGGAAAGAGTTGGGGAAGTGGGGGGGGGAGTTGGTGGGGGCGGGAAGAAGGTCGGGGCAGGAAAAATTGGTTGTTGTGATGTCGGGGCGTTGTTGAACGACCTGGTGTGTGTATTATTGTTGTTGTGGTGGTGGTGGTGTGTAGATGAACGACCCGATGTGTGTATTATTGGTGTTGTGGTGGTGGTGGTGTGTAGATGAACGACCAGGTGTGTGTATTATTGTTGTTGTTGTGGTGGTGGTGTAGGCGTGTAGATGAACGACCCGATGTGTGTATTATTGTTGTTGTGGTGGTGGTGTAGGCGTGTAGATGAACGACCTGGTGTGTGTATTATTGTTGTTGTTGTGGTGGTGGTGGTGTGTAGATGAACGACCTGGTGTGTGTATTATTGTTGTTGTGGTGGTGGTGGTGTGTAGATGAACGACCTGGTGTGTGTATTATTGTTGTTGTTGTGGTGGTGGTGGTGTGTAGATGAACGACCTGGTGTGTGTATTATTGTTGTTGTGGTGTAGGTGTGTAGATGAACGACCCGATGTGTGTATTATTGTTGTTGTTGTGGTGGTGGTGTAGGTGTGTAGATGAACGACCCGATGTGTGTATTATTGTTGTTGTTGTGGTGGTGGTGGTGTGTAGATGAACGACCCGATGTGTGTATTATTGTTGTTGTGGTGTAGGTGTGTAGATGAACGACCCGATGTGTGTATTATTGTTGTTGTTGTGGTGGTGGTGGTGTGTAGATGAACGACCCGATGTGTGTATTATTGTTGTTGTGGTGGTGGTGTGTAGATGAACGACCCGATGTGTGTATTATTGTTGTTGTTGTGGTGGTGGTGTAGGTGTGTAGATGAACGACCCGATGTGTGTATTATTGTTGTTGTTGTGGTGGTGGTGTGTAGATGAACGACCAGGTGTGTGTATTATTGTTGTTGTTGTGGTGGTGGTGTAGGCGTGTAGATGAACGACCCGATGTGTGTATTATTGTTGTTGTTGTGGTGGTGGTGTAGGTGTGTAGATGAACGACCCGATGTGTGTATTATTGTTGTTGTTGTGGTGGTGGTGTAGGTGTGTAGATGAACGACCCGATGTGTGTATTATTGTTGTTGTTGTGGTGGTGGTGTAGATGTGTAGATGAACGACCCGATGTGTGTATTATTGTTGTTGTTGTGGTGGTGGTGGTGGTGGTGTGTAGATGAACGACCCGATGTGTGTATTATTGTTGTTGTGGTGGTGGTGGTGGTGTAGGTGTGTAGATGAACGACCCGATGTGTGTATTATTGTTGTTGTTGTGGTGGTGGTGGTGTGTAGATGAACGACCCGATGTGTGTATTATTGTTGTTGTGGTGGTGGTGTGTAGATGAACGACCCGATGTGTGTTTTATTGTTGTTGTTGTGGTGGTGGTGTAGGTGTGTAGATGAACGACCCGATGTGTGTATTATTGTTGTTGTTGTGGTGGTGGTGTGTAGATGAACGACCAGGTGTGTGTATTATTGTTGTTGTTGTGGTGGTGGTGTAGGCGTGTAGATGAACGACCCGATGTGTGTATTATTGTTGTTGTTGTGGTGGTGGTGTAGGTGTGTGGATGAACGATCTGGTGTGTGTATTGTTGTTGTTGTGGTTGTTGTGGTGGTGGTGGCGTGTTGTTGAACGACCTGGTGTGTGTATTGTTGTTGTGGTGGTGTGGTGGTGGTGGTGGCGTGTGGATGAACGACCTGGTGTGTGTATTGTTGTGGTTGTTGTTGTTGTTGTGGTGGTGGTGGCGTGTTGTTGAACGACCTGGTGTGTGTATTGTTGTTGTTGTGGTGGCGTGTGGATGAACGACCCGATGTGTGTATTATTGTTGTTGTTGTGGTGGTGGTGTAGGTGTGTAGATGAACGATCTGGTGTGTGTATTGTTGTTGTTGTTGTGGTTGTTGTTGTTGTGGTTGTTGTTGTTGTGGTGGTGGTGTAGGCGTGTGGATGAACGACCTGGTGTGTGTATTGTTGTTGTTGTTGTTGTGGTTGTTGTTGTTGTGGTGGTGGTGTAGGCGTGTGGATGAACGACCTGGTGTGTGTATTGTTGTTGTTGTGGTTGTTGTTGTTGTTGTGGTGGTGGTGGTGGCGTGTTGTTGAACGACCTGGTGTGTGTATTGTTGTTGTTGTGGTTGTTGTTGTTGTGGTTGTGGTGGTGGTGTAGGCTTGTGGATGAACGACCTGGTGTGTGTATTGTTGTTGTTGTTGTGGTTGTTGTTGTGGTTGTTGTGGTGGTATAGGCGTGTGGATGAACGACCTGGTGTGTGTATTGTTGTTGTTGTTGTGGTGTTGTTGTTGTTGTTGTGGTGGTGGTGTAGGCGTGTGGATGAACGACCTGGTGTGTGTATTGTTGTTGTGGTTGTTGTTGTTGTGGTGGTGGTGTAGGCGTGTTGTTGATCGACCTGGTGTGTGTATTGTTGTTGTTGTTGTGGTTGTTGTTGTTGTTGTGGTGGTATAGGCGTGTGGATGAACGACCTGGTGTGTGTATTGTTGTTGTTGTTGTGGTTGTTGTTGTGGTGGTGGTGTAGGCGTGTGGATGAACGACCTGGTGTGTGTATTGTTGTTGTTGTTGTGGTTGTTGTTGTTGTTGTGGTATAGGCGTGTGGATGAACGACCTGGTGTGTGTATTGTTGTTGTTGTTGTGGTTGTTGTTGTTGTTGTGGTGGTGGTGTAGGCGTGTGGATGAACGACCTGGTGTGTGTATTGTTGTTGTGGTTGTTGTTGTTGTGGTTGTTGTTGTGGTGGTGGTGTAGGCGTGTGGATGAACGACTTGGTGCAGGTGGCGGCGCACGAGGTTGGCCACGCGCTGGGCCTGATGCACTCGCGGCGCGCCCACGCGCTCATGCACGCCAACGCCACCGCCACGCGCACGCGCAGTCTGGCGCGAGACGACGTGTGGGGCATCCAGAGGCTCTATGGTGCGACACCGGAGTCGTCACCGTCACCGTCATCATCACCGTAGCCGTCATCATCACCGTAGTCGTCACCGGCGCCGTCATCATCACCGTAGCCGTCATCATCACCGTAGCCGTCATCATCACCGTAGCCGTCATCATCACCGTAGCCGTCATCATCACCGTAGTCGTCACCGGCGCTGTCACCGTCATCATCACCGTAGCCGTCATCATCACCGTAGTCGTCATCATCACCGTAGTCGTCACCGGCGCCGTCATCATCACCGTAGCCGTCGTCATCACCGTAGTCGTCATCATCACCGTAGTCGTCACCGGCGCCGTCACCGTCGTCATCACCGTCGTCATCATCACCGTCGTCATCACCATCATCATCACCACCGTCATCATCACTGTCGTCATCACCATCATCATCACCACCGTCATCATCACCGTCATCATCATCATCGTCATCATCACCATCATCATCACCGTAGTCGTCATCACCACCGTCATCACCACCGTCGTCATCACCGGCGCCGTCACCGTCGTCATCATCATCACCGTCACCGTCGTCATCATCATCACCGTCATCATCATCACCGTCATCACCGTCGTCATCATCGTCATCATCATCACCGTCGTCATCACCGTTGCCATCATCACCACCGTCATCATCATCACCGTCTTCATCACCATCATCACCGTTGCCATCATCACCACCGTCATCACCACCGTCATCATCATCACCGTTGCCATCATCACCACCGTCATCATCACCGTCATCACCACCGTCATCATCATCACCGTTGCCACCACCGTCATCATCACCGTCGTCATCACCGTTGCCATCATCACCACCGTCATCATCATCACCACCGTCACCACCGTCGTCAACACCCATATTACCCTCCTCAACATCATCATCATCATCGTCGTCCCTCTTATCAACGTCTTCGACTCCCCCAGGCACCTTGGCCGTGACGTTATCTCCCCCCCTCCCCCCCGTGTGCCGCGCCGGCCTTCGTCGGTGCTACTCACTAACAGCACTTACCCCAACAGTCTGTTCAGGCTATACGGGGGGTCTTTGTCTTTATTTTGGCGAACGCGCAGGCTGCCGGGACAAGTCCGGGACGTGCGATCGCTGGGTGCGACGCGGCCTCTGCTCCTCGCGCCCGCGCCTCTCCATGAGCCGCTGCGCCAGCTCCTGTGACCTCTGCTTCGGTGCGTGACCCCCACCACCCCCACGGGGTCAAGGGGGGGTCAGGGGGGGGTCAGGCAGGGGGGGTTTCCCCGGGGACTCGGGGTGACGTTCAGGGAAGCAGACGGGACACACAAACCCGCCGCGGTGGGGAGCGAGCGCAGTCATTAGGGTTCGTACTTAACAGGGGCGTCACGGTGGCTAGGAGATGTTAGCTACCTCGCCTGGTACGCAGGAGGTCGTGGGTTCGGTCCGACCCGGACGCCTGCTGTTGTGTATTTGGAGTTTGCGTGTCTCTCTCTCATCATCATCACGGTGGCTAGGAGATGTTAACTACCTCGCCTGGTACGCAGGAGGTCGTGGGTTCCATCCCGACCCTGCCACCTGCTGCTGTATATTTGGAGTTTGCATGTTCTCCGACACGCGCCACGTATGACCTCGCGTCACGACGTACGACCTTGCGTAACCCCGTACGACTGCCGTGTGCAGGGCATGCGCCCCCCTCCGCGACCCCCCGGCCCCGCACGCCCCCCAAGGCCAAGGTGGTGACGCGGGGTCGCATCGTGACCTTTCACTGCGGCAGGCGGAGCTCCCTGCCCGGGGTCACCGTGAGGTACGGAAAAGAGATTCTGGGCACGCTTACCATCACCGGCGAGGCTGCGTTGGCGAGATGTTAACTACCTCGCCTGGTATTCAGGAGGTCGTGGGTTCGATCCCTGACCGTAACGCCTGCTGCTGCTGCTGTATACGTGGAGTTTGTGCGTTCACTCTCTCCCCGTGGTCGCGTGGATTTTTCTCCGGCTCATCCGGTTTTTCCCTCCACATTTAAACTCAACGTCATGCATTTACAGTATTTGGCTGCGATACTTTTCCACGTGATGAGCCACTTCGTTGAGCTATCATTTGTGGCCAGGTCGCTTATATATTAAAAAATAAAAATAGCTATACAGCTCAGTGGGCTTTACCTGGCAAAGAAAAAAATTAGCTCATCGTTTTTTACGTAGCCCGCATTTGCAGTCACCGCATGCCCAAGCAGATTCCGTTTGGCCGGATCCAGGGGTCTAAACGGGCGGGGCACGGGCTAGAGAAGATATGGAGCTGATGCGGTACAGGAGGATGTGGAGCCGAGTGGACTTGCCTATGACCAGTACCAGCGGTGTCAAGATCGGCCTCAGTGGAGGAGGCTCGTGAAGGACGCTACTGGGCAGTTGGAGGCAGTCGCCCTCCAACAACAACGGAGGGCGGAGGAGTGAAACTCCCAACGAGCAGAGTGCTGGGCGGCTAAAATGCAGAAAGTGGCCACAGTGGGGAGCACAGGTGGTGCATGATCCAGTCACCCTCTAAGCATGTTCGTGGCATGTTCACGGCATGTGCTCAGTATGTTCAGTGTCCATGGCGTGTTCACGGCATGTGCTCAGTATGTTCAGTGTCCATGGCGTGTTCTTGGCATGTTCATGGTGTGTTCATGCGTGTTCGTGCGTGTTCCTGGCGTGTTCCTGGCGTGTTCATGGCGTGTTCCTGGCGTGTTCATGGCGTGTTCACGGCGTGTTCACGGCGTGTTCACGGCGTGTTGCTGGCGTGTTCATGGCGTGTTCACGGCGTGTTCACGGCGTGTTCCTGGCGTGTTCCTGGCGTGTTCACGGTGTGTGCGCGCCGCGTGCAGTTGGTACAAGGACGGCGAGTGGCTGGAGGCCTCGGTGCCGGGGCGGCTGACGATGTCGGGTCGCGAGCTGCGCCTCGTCGCCAACGAGGTGAACGAGGGGGAGTACACGTGCACGCTGGCGCGCGGGGCCAGCGAGATGCGCGCCAACGCCTGGCGCATCGTCCTCAAGGACCCCCACGGGGAAGAAACAGGCGGCGGCGGCGGGGAGACCCCCACCGCTCAAGTCCCGAGGCTAGGGCCCTCGGGGGGCCGAACGCCGTGACGCACGGGGCCCGAGGTCAGGGGGAGCCACTCAGCTCGGGGCCGGAGCGGAAGGGGGGCCGACGGCGACTCACGGAGGCTGCGGTCGCGTCGGAGGCCACGGTCACAGCGGCGCGTTTGCTCAACTTCGCTCAACTTTGGGCCACGGAGACAGCCTCGGTCTGAAACGTCGACGACGACGACGACGAGGAGGAGGAGATTCAGCTTCAGCTGCGTCGCGTGCTGCCCCATCGCGGTTGGCACAGCCCCGTGTATATTACAAATATAGATATTTTTTATTGTGGTTAAGCACACAAGTCCAGTACAACGAGCCGATGATTTCTGGGGGTGGGGACAGAAAAACCGAGGTGGGGGGGGCGGGGGGTGGTGGGGGGGTGCAGGGGGGGGTTTTTGGCGCTTGGCCGTGTTATGGTGGGGAGAGAGGCTGATTGTTGCCCACTTCCGTAGGTGGAGGGAGCTTTAGTATATATACGGGGGGGGGGAGGGGGGCCAGATACGGCCAAACCTGGCGTGCGTGGTGGCCACCAAACCCCTCTCCACCCACCCACCCCGCGTCACCCCCACTTCCCAATACGTAATGCAAACAAGAATAATAATCGATTTAAAGCTTTCGTGACTGCAGGGATTCATCTTCTTGGTTCTTTCGGTAAAGTCACGTAGAAGGGAAATAATAAAATAATAATAATAAAAAATTTCCCTTCTACGTGACTTTACCGAAAGAACCAACAAGAATAATAATAATAATGTACATTTCATATCGCAGCCTCCACGCAAAGCGCACCTCCACAACGCCGCTGCAGAGATGCCGCTGCAGAGACGCCGGGGACGCGCGTGGCTCCGAGCACCACCGGGGGAGGGGGAGGGGGACACCACAGAGGAGTGGGAGGCAGCCGGAACCGGGCCAATGATTTCCCAAGCTCTGTGGTGCTACGCGTGAGGGATGTTTGGCGAATAAACATCAACAACAACAACAACAGCAACCACGTGGGTGGTGCAAGTCGCACATGTCTGAGCGGAGCTGCTGATTGAACAAAGAATCGCGCTGCCTTTAATCGGTTTTACCACGACGCAATGTGATCCGTAATCAGGGTTTTTCTTTTCTCTTGGGGTCACATCGCGCGAATATAAATGCGTCGTTAAGACCCCTGCCACACGACACATTCATATTTGCGCGATCTAACCCCCAAAAAACACAACCCCATTAACACATTCCTGCGGAGGGAGCTGGTAGGAACGTCGGGTTGCTCGGTCGATGGCCAGGGTCAACGGCGGCGTGGTGTATTCCGCAAATATGCCCGACTGTGAGAGCGGGCACAAGCCGGCGTGAGTAGGTTAAACATTGAGTTTTATAAGGGCACCACGGGGTGATCAGCCCCTCCCCACCCAGCCCCTCCCCACCCAGCCCCTCCCCACCCAGCCCCTCCCCACCCAGCCCCTCCCTCCCCACCCAGCCCCTCCCTGCACGACGGACACAATAATCCCCTGTGGGCTGGTGTAACCATCATTATGCCTCAAATCGGTCGGTTACATGGCAATGAACATGGCAGTTCGGAGTACAATGGATCGCACGCGCATCCCACCCTCTCCCCCTCGCGCAACCTCTCCCGTTCCACCCCCCCCCCACCACCAACACCGCCGCCGCCACCACCACCACCGCCGCCCCCCCATCACAGCAAAATAGCTGGAGAGCCGCTTCGCACGCAGAGCAGCGAGCTGCTACGTACGCAAACGCAGCAGCAGCAGCAGCAGGCACATAGAGCAGATGACAACACACATTCTTACATAATCAAAATAAACGGTGATGGGGTGAACTGCGTCCATTTCGTTTTTGCCCCCCCCCCCCGCCCCCCCCCCGCCCCCCGCCCCTCAGTTATTCTCCAACAACCGGTTTCACTCTCGTCACCACTTCATTCCACAGTGACCCATTCCCTGCCACATTCCATCAGTTGCCTTGACGGCTGCCCGCAAGGGGGCAGCCAAAGAGCCGCAAGGGGGCAGCCAAGGAGTTGTAAGGGGGCAGCCAAGGAGTTGCAAGGGGGCAGCCAAAGAGCCGCAAGGGGGCAGCCAAAGAGCCGCAAGGGGGCAGCCAAGGAGTTGTAAGGGGGCAGCCAAGGAGTTGCAAGGGGGCAGCCAAAGAGCCGCAAGGGGGCAGCCAAAGAGCCGCAAGGGGGCAGCCAAGGAGTTGCAAGGGGGCAGCCAAGGAGTTGCAAGGGGGCAGCCAAGGAGTTGCACGCTAAACGGTCACTGCACCGGCCCCGACGACACCTTCAGTGTGCAGAGCGAGTGACCTGCAGTGCGGTGTTGGCACTGGATGAGAAGAGCAGGTCACGACCTCCGAGGTGCCAAGCGCAACAGCTGCTCGCTCCGGCAGGAAGGAAAGAAGCGATGGCGACGCGTGGCGGCGGCGTCGCCAGCGCGGGGAACACAACCAACGGCTGCCGGTTGAAGTGGTGACCATTCCTCCTGCTCCTCCTCGTCATCCCCCTCGTCCCGCTGCCGCTCTCCCGCGTCGTGGTGACGAGGCGGGGCGGGCTCAGAGGGGCGCAGACTCCCCCTCATTCCGCGCCGCACCATCAGGAACCCCTGCGGCACAATCACACATCATCCCCGCGTCATCCCCACGCCGACCCCCATCATCCCCGCGTCATCCCCACGCCGCGTGGACCCCGTGTGGACTCCGCATGGACCCCGCACGGGGATTGCCGCGTCGTGTGTCCTGAAGCCGATCGCTGGGAACCTCACCACCCGACCGCGTACTCCACTTAACACTGAACGACATTAGATTTGACCAGGCGAGGCCCACGGAGCTGTAGAGCGACCTGCCCACAAATTATACCTCAACGAAGTGGCTCATCATCGTGTGTAGGTGCAGCAGGAGGGGGCTGTGTGTGGGGGCAGCAGGCGGAGGCTGTGTGTAGGTGCAGCAGGCGGAGGCTGTGTGCAACGGGCAGTGGGCAGCAGGAGGGGGCTGTGTGTAGGTGCAGCAGGAGGGGGCTGTGTGTAGGTGCAGCAGGCGGAGGCTGTGTGTGGGGGCAGCAGGCGGAGGCTGTGTGTAGGTGCAGCAGGCGGAGGCTGTGTGCAACGGGCAGTGGGCAGCAGGAGGGGGCTGTGTGTAGGTGCAGCAGGAGGGGGCTGTGTGTAGGTGCAGCAGGCGGAGGCTGTGTGTAGGTGCAGCAGGCGGAGGCTGTGTGTAGGTGCAGCAGGCGGAGGCTGTGTGCAGCGGGCAGTGGGCAGCAGGAGGGGGCTGTGTGTAGGTGCAGCAGGAGGGGGCTGTGTGTAGGTGCAGCAGGCGGAGGCTGTGTGCAGCGGGCAGTGGGCAGCAGGAGGGGGCTGTGTGTAGGTGCAGCAGGAGGGGGCTGTGTGTAGGTGCAGCAGGCGGAGGCTGTGTGCAGCGGGCAGAAGCAGGGGACTGTGTGTATGTGCAGCAGGAGGAGGCTGTGTGTAGGTGCAGCAGGCAGAGGCTGTGTGCAGCGGGCAGCAGGAGGGGGCTGTGTGCATGTGCAGCAGGAGGGGGCTGTGTGTTGTGTATGTGCAGCAGTAGGGGGAGGCTGTGTGTAGGTGCAGCAGGAGGGGGCTGTGTGTAGGTGCAGCAAGAGGGGGCTGTGTGTAGGTGCAGCAGGAGGGGGCTGTGTGCAGGTGCAGCAGGAGGGGGCTGTGTGTTGTGTATGTGCAGCAGCAGGAGGGGGCTGTGTGTATGTGCAGCAGGAGGAGGCTGTGTGTGGGTGCAGCAGGGGGCTGTGTGTAGGTGCAGCAGGAGGGGGCTGTGTGTGGGTGCAGCAGGAGGCTGTGTGTAGGTGCAGCAGGGGGCTGTGTGTGGGTGCAACAGGAGGGGGGGGCTGTGTGTAGATGTAGCAGGAGGGGGGGGCTGTGTGTATGTGCAGCAGGAGGGGGGGGCTGTGTGTAGGTGCAGCAGGAGGGGGATGTGTGTAGATGTAGCAGGAGGGGGGGGCTGTGTGTAAGTGCAGCAGGAGGGGGGGCTGTGTGTAGGTGCAGCAGGAGGGGGCTGTGTGTAGGTGCAGCAGGAGGGGGCTGTGTGTAGGTGCAGCAGGCGGAGGCTGTGTGCAGCGGGCAGCAGGAGGGGGATGTGTGTAGGTGCAGCAGGAGGGGGCTGTGTGTAGTATGTGCAGCAGGCGGAGGCTGTGTGCAGCGGGCAGCAGGAGGGGGCTGTGTGTAGGTGCAGCAGGAGGCGGAGGCTGTGTGTAGGTGCAGCAGCAGGCGGTGGCTGTGTGTGGGTGCAGCAGGAGGCGGAGGCTGTGTGTAGGTGCAGCAGCGTCTCACCGTAGAGTCTGCGGTTGACGAGTGAGATGTCGAGGTCTCTGAGCAGTGGCACGCCCCCCTCGGGGGCCTCGCCCTCCTCCTGGGCCCAGGCGAAGGGGTCTGGGGGGGGGGGAGAGTGGAGGGGGGGGGGCACGGGGATCGGAGCATTCAACGCCATGGAACGTGAACACCAGAACTGGTTTGTATGTCACGTGCTGGGACACGCACGATGGTGCGGTACCCGTCGCTGTGTGTGACACACGCGGTGGGTGTGCGAGGGGGTGACACCGATGGTGACACGTACCTGTCGCTGTGTGTGACACACGGTGGGTGTGCGAGGGGGGGTGTGACACTGATGGTGACACATACCTGTCACTGTGTGTGACACACGTGGTGGGTGTGTGAAGGGGGGGGGTGACACCGATGGTGACACGTACCCGTCACTCACTGTGTGTGACACACGGTGGGTGTGCGAAGGGGGGTGTGACACTGATGGTGACACGTACCCGTCACCGTGTGTATGGAGTCTAGGGGCGCCGTGCTCATGATGTTGAGTCCGTGCAGCACAATCGCCACGAAGCCGACGCACACGATCAGATACAGCGGCACGGCCACCGCCCAGTACCTGATGGCAACACACAAGACAAAGCGTCTCCGTTGTAGCCTGCACAGACTGTAGGGGCAAGTGCTGTCAGCATCTATGAACCCGGCAGGGCACACGAGGTGGTGGTGGGTGGGTGACACCACGCCCGGCCGCCTTTGTCTGTGCGGTGGCGATGTTTACACGCCGCACCAGGTACTCATTTGAGGCTGAGTCGACCTAGGGGAGGAGGCCCAGGACCGGTTCAGATAATCGTCACCGGTGTTGGTGGCCTTGAGCAGGAATTGAACTTGGGTAGCCAGAGTCTACACTGCCGCTCCGCACACACATCGACAGACACTCTCGACTACACTCGTACAGAAACAGACCCAAGATCCCTCTCCTTTGTATAGCCTTGGCAGACTGTTAGGGAAAGTGCTGGTAGGATTGAGACGATGGAAAAAAAATTAATCCGTGAAAACAAAGTTTTTCACTCTAAATCCTTTATATGCGTGGCGGCTAGGGTCCTCTCGTCCTCTGGCTTGAGATGGCTGCCACCTATGGGTCAGATGATTGCCTGCCACCAATAAGCAATTAGTAATTAAAAATATTTTTTTTTCCTAAAAAGTGTAAAGTTATGGAACAAATTTCACGAAAATAAATTGTCACGCACAACGAGTCTGTGTGCAAAATGTCAGCTCGATTGGATCACGGGAAGTGGGTTAAAAAACGACCGAAAGATTTGCACGGTCGTAAGCGCGCAAGCAAGCAAGCAAGTGAACTTAATATAAAGGATTTAAAAAAGAGGGAGGAGAGACTGGGAGATGACGGGAGGAGAGCTGAAGGGAGCTGTGGAGGACATGAGAGGAAAGGTGAGAATTGGGAAGAAGGTGGTGGGGAGTTTGAGGTGAGACGAGAGGTGAGAGGGGGATGGGTTGTGAGTGAGGGGAGTGCCGCTCACTTCTGGGGGAGGTAGGTGAGCCCCACGGAGTGCAGCCATGCGTCCGGCACCACGGCCCAAACCACGTACACGGCTGTGCGCACGCAACACGCACGCACCACACGCACCAAATGAAACTAAACGATTTGTTATATTGTATTTTAACGAGGTAAGACCCACTGAGCTACGTAGCTCTGAAGCGACGTGGCCACCACGAATGAGAGCTCACAACGAAGTGGCTCGTCATTGTCACGTGGCAATTCATCGCAATAGACAAACACTGTGCGACGTTGCTTCACGAACGCGTGACGTTGATTGCAAACGTGGAGGGAGAAAAACTCGGGAGGACCTGGAGGAAAAATCCACGTGGAGAGAGAGAGACACGCAAACGCCAAATATACAGCAGGCATCAGGGTCTGGAACGAGCTCACGAATTCCTGTATCCCAGGCGAGGTAGTTAACATCTCCACGGGGAGAGAGAGAGACACGCAAACTACAAATATACAGCAGGCGTCAGGGTCTGTAACGAACTCACGAATTCCTGTATCGCAGGCGAGGTAGTTAACATCTCCACGGGGAGAGAGAGAGACACGCAAACTACAAATATACAGCAGCAAGCGTCAGGGTCGGGATCGAGCCCACGGCCTCATGTACACCAGGCGAGGTAGTTAACATCTCCTAGCCACACAAATAACACGCGCGCACCACATACATCGAGATGCACAAAACGCCAACAGGATGCACGCACGTAAGACGAGGGCACATTTAGATACACATCAACACGGTGCAAACACATTCCTGCGGAGGGAGCTGGTAAGAACGTTGAGTTTCTCGGTCAATGGCCAGGGTCAACGGCGGCGTGGTGTATTCCGCAAATTTGCCCGACTGTGAGGGCGGGCACAAGCCGGCGTGAGTAGGTTAAACGTTGAGTTTTATAAGGGCACCACGGGGTGACCAGCCCCTCCCCACCCAGCCACACCCAGCCCCTCCCTCCCCACCCAGCCCCTCCCCACCCTCCCCTCTCCACCCAGCCCCACCCCTCCCATTTTTGGATTCACGACGGACGGACGGACACAATAATCCCCTGTGGGCTGGTGTAACCAGGAGGTTCCTACCAGTATAAAGCAACACACCACACTCAAACAACACTCAACTAATTATAATAGAGAATGATCCCCCGTGTAGCCTTAACAGACTGTAGGGGCAAGTGCTGTTAGCGAGTAGCAGCACCTGTGAAGGCTGGTACGGCACACGAGGGGGTGAGTGGCCAGCACCACGCCCGGCCGCCTTTGTCTCTCCAGTGGAGATTGCTTACACACCACACCAGGTGCTCATTTGAGGCCGAGCCAACTTGGGAGAGTCCCAGGACCGGTTCAGATAATCGTCACCGGGGTCGTTGGCCGTGAACTCGCACCGACAACTACAGCTACACACAGTTACACACAACTACAGCTACACACAACTACAGCTACACACAGCTACAGCTACACACAGCTACAGCTACACACAGCGACAGCTACATACACAGCTACACACAGCTACAACTACACACAGCTGCAGCTACACACAGCCGCAGCTACACACAGCTACACACACAGCTACACACAGCTACACACACAGCTATAGCTACACACAGCTACAAACAGCTACAGCTACACACAGTTACACACAGCTACACACAGCTACAGCTACACACAGCTACACACAGTTACACACAGCTACACACAGCTACAGCTACACACAGCTCCACGCAGCTCCACACAGCTACAACTACACATAGCTACAGCTACACACAGCTACACACAACTACACACAGCTACAGCTACACACAGCTACACACAGCTACAGCTTACACACAGATACAGCTACACACAGCTTACACACAGCTACACACAACTACAACTACACACAGCTACAGCTACACACAGCTACACACAGCTACACACAGCTACAGCTACACACAGCTACACACAGCTACACACAGCTACACACAGCTACAGCTACACACAGCTACACACAGCTACACACACAGCTACAAACAGCTACACACAGCACCAACACGACAGCTGCAGCTACACACGCAGCTACAGCTACACACAGCTACACATACAGTTACAGCTCCACACACAGCTACAGCTACACACACAGCTACACACAGCTACACACAGCTGCAGCTCCACACACAACGGCAGCTACACACACACACAACGGCAGCTACACACACAGCTTACACACAACTACACACACAGCTGCAGCTACACACACAGCTGCAGCTACACACACAGCTGCAGCTACACACACAGCTGCAGCTACACACACAGCTGCAGCTACACACACACACAACGGCAGCTACACACACAGCTTATACACAGCTTACACATAACTACACACACAGCTGCAGCTCCACACACAGCTACACACACAACGGCAGTGGTCGCCCTGGAGTCGGACAACACAGACAATGTGAGCAGAGAGCTCGTCGAGAGCTTCACGGAACGCACCGAACGCCACGATGGAGCCCACGAAGATCACGAAGCCGTGGATCGCTCGCTCGGGCAGCGGCGCCGGCGACTTATCCGTGCTCCCCGACATTGGACGCTGCGCGGCCCTTCGGCGGCGGCGGGGTGAGGAGGGGGGGAGTCCGGCCACCAAACTAGGAAACGAGGGGGGCTTCGTCTCGGGCCTAGTCGCGCTCGCCGGGTTTCCGGGCTCTCCTGCGGCGGTCGTTTGGCCGCCTGTGGCCGGGGCTGGTGGCGAGGTGCGGGTCGTGGCTGTGGCAGGCTGTGGCAGGCTGTGGCAGGATGTGGCAGGCTGTGGCAGGCTGTGGCAGGCTGTGGCAGGATGTGGCAGGCTGTGGCAGGCTGTGGCAGGATGTGGCAGGCTGTGGCAGGATGTGAGATCGGCAGCGAGGCGCTCCGAGGGCCACGGCGAGACGGCGGGCGGTCGCGGTGGGCGACGAGACGCGATCTGATTGGACGAGAGGTGGGAGCCAATCACACTGCGCGGGGATTGAGCGTTGCTCCCTCGCGACCAAAATTGTTTAAACTTTTTGTATCTTTGAAATATTCTTGGTTCTTTCGGTAAAGTCACGTAGAAGGGAAATAATAAGATAATACAAATATAAAACAATGAAAATTCTCACGACGTTTCGACTGCAACACAAGCAATCATCATCACATTTTCTTGCTGTGGATTTCACACCTGATGATGATTGCTTGTGTTGCAGTCGAAACGTCGTGAGAATTTGTATTATTTTATTATTTCCCTTTTAAGTGACTTTACCTAAAAGAACCAAGAATATGAATCCCTGCAGTCACGAAAGCTTTAAATAAATAAATATTGTATCTTTTAAATATGACCAGGTAAGGCCCACTGAGCTGTATGTTGCTCTTTCTCAGAAGCGACCTGGCAAAAACCATGAGATGATAGCTCAAGCGAAGTGGCCTCTCATCGTGAGTAAATTGATAGCAGCCAAATACCCTAAACATTAATACTGGTAGGAACCTCCTGGTTACACCAGCCCACAGGGGATTATTGTGTCCGTCGTGCAGGGAGGGGCTGGGTGGGGAGGGAGGGGCTGGGTGAGGAGGGGAGGGTGGGGAGGGGCTGGGTGGGGAGGGGCTGGGTGGGGAGGGTGGGGCTGGGTGGGGAGGGTGGGGAGGGGCTGGGTGGAGAGGGAGGGGCTGGGTGAGGAGGGGAGGGTGGGGAGGGGCTGGGTGGGGAGGGGCTGGGTGGGGAGGGGAGGGTGGGGAGGGGCTGGGTGGGGAGGGTGGGGCTGGGTGGGGAGTGGAGGGTGGGGAGGGGCTGGGTGGGGAGGGTGGGGCTGGGTGGGGAGGGTGGGGAGGGGCTGCGTGGGGAGGGGAGGGTGGGGAGGGGCTGGGTGGGGGGTGGGAGGGGTGGGGCTGGGTGGGAAGGGGCTGGTCACCCCGTGGTGCCCTTATAAAACTCAACGTTTAACCTACTCACGCCGGCTTGTGCCCGCCCTCACAGTCGGGCATATTTGCGGAATACACCACGCCGCCGTTGACCCTGGCCATTGACCGAGCAACCCAACGTTCCTACCAGCTCCCTCCGCAGGAATGTGTTTCGTACATCAAACATCGTCAGCGGAAGACGATGCGTGATGCGCCAAACGCGTGACCCCTTGCGACAGTATTTCTGTCATCTATACTCGAAACGCATTATGCTGATTTAATATGTGGAGGGGGAAAACCGCAGGACTTGGAAAAAAATCTACCCGTCCCACGGGGAGAGAGAGAGACACAGCAAACTCTAAATATGCAGCAGCATGCGTCGGGGTCGGGATCGAATCCACGACCTCCTGTATACCAGGAGAGGTAGTTAACATCTCCTAGCCACCGTGATGATGATGAGAGAGAGAGAGAGACACGCAAACTACAAATATACAGCAGCAGGCGTCAGGGTCGGGATCGAACCCACGACCTCCTGTAGACCAGGCGAGGTAGTTAACATCTCTTAGCCACCGTGATGATGCTGAGAGAGAGAGACGCAAAGTCTACATATACAGCAGCAGGCGTCAGGGTCGGTATCGAACCCACGACCTCCTGTATACCGGGCGAGGGAGTTAACATCTCCTAGCCATCGTGGTATACGCCGGTTTCCTCCAACGCGTATAAAATCACCTACATTGGTTGAAAATCATCTCTATAATTAAAGACCTTAATCTGTATTCTAAAAACACTTCTAGGGTGCTTCCCCACAAGGTAGAAAGCTGAAATGTGGGTACATAAGTAGCTTTTATGACACAAACCACAGGGAATATGTGAAAATCCGAGATTTATTTTTAATTTGAGGCCATCAAATCCCGATTTGAAGAACGCTATGTTTGTGCGTGGTGTCATTCAGAAATCGTTCGAAATATATGATTGCGGTTTTTTTTATTTGATAGAGCGTTAAACAGCAAATACAATTCAAGCGAGAACCATTATATTATTTTATTGGGTCTTTCGGTAAAGTCAAGTAGAAGGGTTCAAAGAAAATAACAAAACCTATCCAAGTGACTTTATCAAAACATGCAAGAATATGAATTCCTGCAGTCACGAAAGCTTTAGTCGAGAACCATTGTTCTATCTTTCATTGTTTTGAGATATTTCAGATTCAAGCGGTTTTGAATGAAAAAAATCTACATTTCATGATGTTCAAATCGGAACAATTCGAAAACGGTAAAATATATAAGGCTTCCCCTCACGAAGTATTAAGCTCATACTGGTAGGAACCTCCTGGTTACACCAGCCCACAAGGGATTATTGTGTCCGTCCGTCGTGCAGGGAGGGGCTGGGTGGGAAGGAAGGGGCTGGGTGGGTGGGTGGGGAGGGGAGGGTGGGGAGGGGCTGGGTGGGGAGGGTGGGGAGGGGCTGGGTGGGGAGGGTGGGGCTGGGTGGGGGGTGGAAGGGGTTTGGCTGGGTGGGGAGGGGCTGGGTGGGGAGGGTGGGAAGGGGCTGGGTGGGGAGGGTGGGGCTGGGTGGGGGGTGGGAGGGGTGGGGCTGGGTGGGGAGGGGCTGGTCACCCCGTGGTGTCCTTATAAAATTTCGATTTAAAGCTTTCGTGACTGCAGGGATTCATCTTCTTGTTTCTTTCGGTAAAGTCACGTAGAAGGGAAGTAATAAAATAATAAAAATAAAACATAATAAAACAATTCTCACGACGTTTCGGCTACAACGCAAGCAGCCGTCTTCAGGTGAAGAATGAGACACTACCAAACTAGGAGCTTATATAGAAGCTGCATTGGGGGTTGAAGAGCGCCTTAACAAAAAGAATGTGCATGTGAAGAGGAATTTAGCATATTCATGGAAAATGCGTAGGCGTTGGGCGGGGGGGTGTCAAAGTCATATTATGCCCATGCATTATGCAGGATCAGCAGCAACCAAGGGGGGTGCAGGGATTAGCAGTAACAAAGGAAAGGAATGTTAATGATATGTAGCTGCAGTTACTCAACAACCACGTAGAAAACTAAAGTATAAACTACATAAAAAACTAAAGTATAAACTGCATCGCACCATCAGTATACTTACTATACTCTATAATAAGCTGAGTTACTAACAGCAAGTAATACATTACAATTCTACCTCGTAAAAATTCTATAATATGCTTCCATCTAAACCTTATTCTCTTATATCACACGAGCATATACCGTACTATATACTGCCATAGATAAACCCAACATTAAATTATATACTGTATTGCTGTAAACCAACCTATATCTTATACATTTAATATAACACTATGTATTATTCTACACACCCTAATGTGTATCGAAATGGTTTATTACGTCCTTCCAATGATTGCTGAGCCAGAATCCATCTTCTCGGTTAAAATTGTCTCTGTGTTTGTATATGTGGATCGCCTCATGAACGAATCTCTCATGATAGCCAGATGGCTTCTCTGCAAGCCATCTGGCTATCATGAGAGATTCGTTCATGAGGCGATCCACATATACAAACACAGAACAATTTTAACCGAGAAGATGGATTCTGGCTCAGCAATCATTGGAAGGACGTAATAAACCATTTCGATACACATTAGGGTGTGTAGAATAATACATAGTGTTATATTAAATGTATAAGATATAGGTTGGTTTACAGCAATACAGTATATAATTTAATGTTGGGTTTATCTATGGCAGTATATAGTACGGTATATGCTCGTGTGATATAAGAGAATAAGGTTTAGATGGAAGCATATTATAGAATTTTTACGAGGTAGAATTGTAATGTATTACTTGCTGTTAGTAACTCAGCTTATTATAGAGTATAGTAAGTATACTGATGGTGCGATGCAGTTTATACTTTAGTTTTTTATGTAGTTTATACTTTAGTTTTCTACGTGGTTGTTGAGTAACTGCAGCTACATATCATTAACATTCCTTTCCTTTGTTACTGCTAATCCCTGCACCCCCCTTGGTTGCTGCTGATCCTGCATAATGCATGGGCATAATATGACTTTGACACCCCCCCGCCCAACGCCTACGCATTTTCCATGAATATGCTAAATTCCTCTTCACATGCACATTCTTTTTGTTAAGGCGCTCTTCAACCCCCAATGCAGCTTCTATATAAGCTCCTAGTTTGGTAGTGTCTCATTCTTCACCTGAAGACGGCTGCTTGCGTTGTAGCCGAAACGTCGTGAGAATTGTTTTACTATGTTTTATTTTTATTATTTTATTACTTCCCTTCTACGTGACTTTACCGAAAGAAACAAGAAGATGAGTCCTTATAAAACTCAATGTTTAACCTACTCACGCCTGCTTGTGCCCGCCCTCTCACAGTCGGGCATATTTGCGGAATACACCACGCCGCCGTTGACCCTGGCCATTGACCGAGCAACCCGACGTTCCTACCAGCTCCCTCCGCAGGAATGTGTTTAATGTTTGTTCTTTATAATAATCTTAAAATTGAGCGGTTTCCAATGGGTACGTATTTAAATATGAGGATTTGAATTTAGTCGTCAACAATTTAAAAACATTTTGCGGAAAAATACAAATTTTTGTAGTGGTCTGATCGTAGATAAAAAACTGTAAAAAAGAAAAAATATTATCAGGCTCATTATTATATTTCATGTTCTGCAGATGTAGATGCCGCTAGTTCTTCCCGTTGTGCAGATGTAGATGCCACTGGTTCTTCATGTTCTGTAGATGTAGATGCCACTGGTTCTTCACGTTCTGTAGATGTAGATGCCACTTGTTCTTCATGTTCTGCAGATGTAGATGCCACTGGTTCTTCACGTTCTGTAGATGTAGATGACACTGGTTCTTCATGTTCTGCAGGTGTAGATGTCACTAATTCTTCACTTTCTGTAGATGTAGATGCCACTGGTTCTTCACGTTCTGTAGATGTAGATGCCACTGGTTCTTCATGTTCTGCAGGTATAGATGCCACTAGTTCTTCATATTCTGCAGATGTAGATGCCACTGGTTCTTCACGTTCTGTAGATATA